GTACATACAGGTGCACACAGGTACACACAGAAACAGATAAGTACATACAGATAGTTACATGCAGACATAGACAGACAGTGCGGTTGACATAGTGGTGTATAGGTGAATCAGTGTTTGTTTATAGGGAATACAATATGGGTGTATAGGGGATGTAATGTGTTTTTCCTGGTGATGTAGCATGTGTGTTCGGGCGATGTAACCCCATTGAGGCTTCTGGTGCTCTTGCTTCCTTGTTTGATGTATATTTTTTACAATTCTTTATTTTTGTAGTGCAGGAAAGTACACACAATAGTATAAATGACATGACATGCAGAAAAACCTCGTTAGACTCCGAGAGGTATACATTATGTCACAGCTACTGCACTTTTTTATTTTAAGAGACAATCATGCTTAGAGGGTCTGCCTGGGTGTGAAACAGGTTATATGCTTCAAAATCAGAAAAAGAAAAAACCTCGGGCATGCTCATATAGTACTATAAAGCAAAAGGGTAGGTATGCAAACAGGCTAGTAGCTTAATAGTGATATTTTGTCCCGGGATCTCACCGGCCATACACTAATCAGAGTAGCAACAAGTAATAAGAGAAGCCAAAAGTAAAAGGTAAAAAGCGTGTGGGGAGATGAAACATGGAGGAAGTCGAAGTTACAGCAGATTTGGATCAGGCAACCCCCTCCAGTGGCAAATGGTGTTCACCACGTGGTCTGTCTGCAGTATATTAGGGAGAGTTCGTGTCAGCCGAGGCCCTCTGCTTTAATCTGGCTAACTTCAGGCTTTGTGGCCCTGTCATGGGTGGAACCATAAGAGGAAGCGTTGTTTTGTGCTGCGAGCCTGCCACCTGGACAGGCCCTAGGGTAAGACCTTTGGAGTTGATCAGTATGGGCAGGTTCGGTGCCGCGTTTGCCGACAAGTGGTATCTCTATCCTCCTCACCGCATGTGGGCCCGGACACCATGGTGGTTCTGGTCTGGCAAATACTAGGGTGATACACTACTGTGTTCCCGCTGGGTAGGCTGCCAGTGTCTGCCAGGAATCAATGGGGATTGTAGCCAGCAAGGAGGGAAAGTTGATGTTCTTCTGAGTGTGAACTGTCAGATTTGCGGTTGCCGCCATTTCACATGCGATTCGTAGTCTGAGCTGTAGTATGATGATACATTGGGGCTGCAGGGTCGCTGTTGTTGTAGGGGCAGCAGGGCATTGACTGGGATCACTCCCACCAGCCCAGAGGGGGGGGGGAAGGGCTAGATTCACTTGGCTGTGGGAGTCCAGAGTGACACTGTTGTGCAGGATAAAGGGGCAGCCCACTGCCTGAGTAGGCCTCATCCTATGCTGACGACAGATATCTTCCTGAGGGACTTAAACAGGGATTGCAAGCCTCTCCTCGGAACCAATGCTCCCTCGTGTACCGGACTGCAGCTTCTTATCAACAGGTAGGTGCTGGGTCAGCTTTTATGGGCTTATATTTAATAAAATTGCTGGAGCTGTTGTTACATGTGACTATTCAGCATGGCGGTCAGGCCCTGTCCCCTGTTTGATGTATATTTTGTCACATGTACACATCTTGTAGGATCTGTCTGTTATTTTAATCATTAGATAAGTTTTATAATCATGCATTCTGGGCTATTTGATACTACACTCTGTCTGTTAATCTGTCTATATGCATGCCTGTTTATTTATTTAATAAAATTATATTTAAAAACAAGAGTGATGAAAAAAATGGGTAGCAAACGAGAATGGACATCTGTTTGCTTGCCTCTGTGTGTATATATTCTCCATTCCAAAGCAGATGGAATATCAGGAAACAATCTCTGACACTCTGGCTCTTGTGCAAAAGTCAAATCATAAACTATCATGTGATATAAATGACATATAGGGATAATAATTTTGTGTAATGGTAAAGAATGGATTTACCTTAAAGTACCACTCTGGGCACCATAACAACATCATCTCAGTAAAGTTGTTATGGTACAATGATGTCCCTGGCACTGTCTTATCTTAAGTGGTCACACTGGTAATGAATGGTTTGACCCTCAAGTCTGCCAAATTGTGTACAATTGTTCTGCCCCTTCATTCCCTATGCAGGCAAGAGACTTCAATCAGGAAACCTTGGACCGGGTGTCGCACATCAATAGCTTCCCTTGAAAAAAGTGAGTAAAAAGATACCTTTTTAAACATTTTTAAAAAATAAAATATAGAAAAGTGGAGTGTTACTTTAGTAACCATCAAGCAGAAACAAATCCTTGACTGCTGACTCCTTCGATCAACAAATACCATTACCCTTCCCTTCCCATTAGGTAAAGCAATACTATGTTAAGTGGGTAAGGGCAACAGCCACAGCTTTATTTAACCAGCACAACCAAATACTGTCAGCTGCTGTTTTTTACCCAGTAGACAGGTACACTTTAAACGTCTTCCAGAGCCTCTTCAGCCTTCTTTATCAACCAAATTCAGGCTGCGACTTTCCAAGCCTATCCGGGCATTATTCATTTACTAAACTTGCAGGCGCAGGAAACCCACAGCTGTTACAAAATTAAGAAAACCACCAAACAACAATTCCAGAACAGAACCATTGGGGAGGGTGAATGGGGAAATAAACTGCCAGGCTCCCTCAGCATTATTCACCAATAATCTGGTAATTTTCCCAGAATTATCTGCTTCCAACTCTAAAACCAACTGTATCTATTTGGCTGCTATGCCAACCCCTCAGGGAAGCAGTCATGCTCCCCCCTCCCTTTTCTCTCCTAGGGTTGGCCTTCTCTATGATTAGCCTTTTTCTGTAAGGTGGATTCTTCAGTATATACATAACAAAGGAAAAAAGAAAGACATATAGTGTGATATTGCTTAGATCTCATTTACTCAATCAGTTGTAAGTATCCTACTCACACAAGGGAGAGCTTTAAAAGACTAGCTCTCAGTCTTTCGAATTTTATTTTGCAAAAGAGTACTTAAGGAACTAAGTGTAGAAATAAGTGAACCTCTGTTTTTAATCTTTCAAGATTCTTTTCTTTCAGCAAGTGTTCTGGAGTTTTGGAGGAAGGCAGATGTAGTTCCTATATTCAAAAAGGGTTCAAAATTCGTAACTGGAAATTATAGACCTGTGAGCTTAACTTCTGTGGCTGGCCAAGTATTTGAAAGGTTATTAATGGATAATATTCGAAAATTTATTGAGAAGAACGTGGTTTTTTGTAGCACAGATCATGCCAAACTAACTTGATTGCATTCTACAAAGAAGTAAGTAGAAGTATAGATCACAGTGTTGCAGTGGATGTGATCTATTTGGATTTTTCCAAGGTGTTTGACCTGTTGATGAAAATGCTTGTTCTTGGGTAGAACATTGGCTTAAAAATAGAGTACAAAGAGTTGTCATTAATGGTAAATTTGTCAAGCTGGACAGAGGTGGCAAATGGTGTACCTCAGGATTCTGTTCTGGGACCCCTTCTATTTATAAATTATCTTGAAAAAAAGCATTGAAAGTCACCTTTCAGAGTTGCAGATGACACAAAACTCTAAAGTAATACATTGTGAACAAGATATTACTTTGCTGCAGAGGGATTTAGATAGACTGGGGGACTGGGCACTCAAATGGCAGATGAAATTTAATGTAGAAAAAGGCAAAGTTATGCACTTCAGCATAAAGAATGCACAAGCAACTTATAACCTTAATGGAAGTGAACTAGGGATAACAGCACATGAGAAGGACTTGGGAATTGTCATAAAAAACAAACTATGCAACAATGTGCAATGTCAATCAGCAGTTGCCAAGGCCAGTAAGGTATTGTCATGCATGAAAAAGGACATTCTTTCTCGGTGAATATAATTTTGCCTCTTTATTAATCACTGATAAGACCACATCTTGAATATGCTGTGCAATTTTGGGCATCTGTTCTAAAGAAGGATATTATGGCACTAGAAAAAGTGCAGAGGTGGGCTACAAAATTAATAAAAGCAATGGAACATTTTAGCTATGAAGAATGGTTAAAGAATTTAAACCTCTTTAGTTTAGAAAAACGTTGCCTCAGAGGGGATATGATAACATTATACAAATATATCCGGGGCCAATACAAACCATTGTGTGGAAATTTATTTACAAACCGGACCTTACATAGGACACAAGGTTATGCGTTTAGACTGGCAGAAAGAAGATTTAGTCTACAGCAAAGAAAAGTTTTTTTTACCGTAAGGATGTGGAATTCTCTGCCTGAAGAAGTGGTTTTATCAGAGTCCGTACAGATGTTCAAACAGCAACTTAATGCATACTTGCAAAAACTGAATATTCAGTGATATAATTTTTCAACTGTAGGGTAATAGCTTCTTGATCCAAGGATTAATCTGACTGCCATTCTGGGGTCAAGAGGGATTTTTTCCCCTAGATTGTTGCAAAATTGTAAGTGCGTCAAACTGTTTTTTTGCCTTCTTATGGATCAACAGCAAAAAACAAATGTGGGGAAGGTTGAACTTGATGCCTTTAAATTTCATCTTGGCAGATCTCACTCAGATTTCCAAAGGTATACATACAAGGAAAGACATGGAAAAACACTATATGTCTTTCTAGTGCATTTTTTTCCTTTCAAGTGGTGTATATATATATATATATATATATATATTCTTATGTTCACCTGCTCACATATTATCAAAGCACTTCAAAGCTGTTCCAACACACAGAGAGCTATGTAAATACTAAATAATTCATCCTAAAGAAAAAGGCTGATTATAGAGAAGGATTGGCATTGCTGCATATTTGTACAAACCATCTAAATTAACACTCCACGTTTCTACATCTTGGCTCCCTTGTGCATTAAAGTTCCAATAATAGAGGGGTGGGGCCCAACTGCCATGGTGGAAAGACATGTTTCTGAAGAGCTCTTCTCCTATACTGGATATAAATGCAATTCTTTACCCTACTAAGCGAGATTTTAACAGAATCCAGCTACTTGCCTAGACATAGCAGAGCTTCACTGAAGGGTTCAAAGAACCGACAGGGGCTTGCCCGTGGCACGTCTTGAATCATGCGGCCTAGATTGCCCTTCAGCACTCAGCACTGGGCTGATGCCCCATTACCCGCCGCTTGGACTGGCGGAGGTGATCCCGGTCCATCCCCAGGAGACTGCCTTAACCATGTGGAAATTTTGGGTGAAGCCACGAAGGCTCACAAAAAAGAAAGCAACTCACCTAAGATGGCGGATGCTGCGTGGTCCCCCGATACTACAGAGGAAAGCATCTTATCCATGCAGGACTGCACTTTTGAGGATTTCTGGCGCAAGCTGGAAAGCAAGCTGCAACAACCAGTCCTAATGCAGGCGAGTGGTCACTCACCTCACAGACAAAGCCTTACATCGCATCAGAAGCTGGCTACACCGGCAGTGAGAGGAGCCTCGACATGGTGGCAGAGCTGGAAGTGTTCCCCACTCCTGCATACAGCGGCACCCAAACAGGAACTGTTGAGATCCGACACTGGGACTCTCAACCTATCGATGGATCTTGTGGAAGCCCAACTCATAAGGAATATTTCCCTGACAGGGCCTTCCTGGTCACAGCTGGGCACAACTATATGCATCACCTTGCAGCTCATGCAGGCTCTGCCTGGGCCCACACGCCTGATCAGAGTACATCCAACAGGAGGCCTATTGCTCTTACTGGGATCGGCTGAATTAAGCTCCAGTCTCATCACCCATGAGGTCCTCCAGTATAATGCTAGTAGACTCCATCTGTTTATAGTCAGATGACAGGCAAATCGTATTCCATATTTTCCTTTCTTTTAATTTGATTATAGCACTTATACATATTTCCTTTTATCTATTTCGTCATCCAGCGGTTTATGCTGAGAAGCATAGTAATGTAAGGCAGCCCAAAGGTTCAGTGGCCACCATAATCTATAGGCACCGCATTTGAGTCACTCTTAACAGCTATACAGTGCCTACTAATAACCAAATATCACCGTGCCTAGTAATTGTCTTGTTCCAATACTCTTGAATCCCTAGACATAAAGCTATAACAACCTCTTGTTATTACACTAACCTATACAATGTGCAGATGTAGCGACATTTTTAAATATATACACACCATGTTTATTGCTGCGTGTCTCATTCTACTATAACTAAAAATGTGCAACTTATGTTTTACTCTGTTCCAGTCTCTTCTTCAGCTTTGACAAGTTGCTTATTAAGCATGTTATTAAGTTATCTTAAACAAAAACAAAAAAAATGTGCACAGTATTTACCTGCCATGCCTATGTACCACTATGTCTGACTATTTCTATCTGTTGATGCTGTTGTGGCACCACAAACTTGCTTTTAACCACCTGTACTGCAAAAAAAAAAAAAAAAGTTCCAATAATAGAGCAGGAGACAAGAACTTCTAAAGTGAACATACTGTGCAGTTAATTCTGATTGAAAATGAATAATTTTTCTCATGGAGGCTGTTTAAGTCACATGCAGGGAACTGTGCATAAACAAAGTGATTTAACAGCTAATTGTCAGAGGATTGAACATTAACACTACAGAGGCATGATCTATGCATCAAAACTACTTAATTAAGTTAAAGTTGTTTTGGTGTTTAGATTACCCCTATAAAGCATACCAATTTTACGAAGGCTAATGTATGTAAAGTTGAACATTAAACATATTGTTTTTTTGAGGAAGACGTATTTCAACATTCAACTTTTATATTGCAAACTTTGAGCAATTCTTAATTTATATATAAATATAGTCAATGATACACTGAGGTATATTATCCCAAATTATAGAAAATATAGATTATATAATGTATAAATATAATAAATATAAAATTGTAACAAAACTGTAAGTTCTTAAAGAATTTAAAAATGTATGTGTATTTCTCAAATTGTCATAGGTATTTTCTTGTGTGGGACTGTTTAACTCTATAAGTAAATCTGAATGTGATAATGGAACTATTAAGGGTGAGAATGAGTCTGACTGTTTTGTTAATCATCTACAAAAGCTAGACTGGCACTCTATAATTGTCTCATATTTTATTGTGCCAGTCAATTAGTCAGAGCAGTGGCTTATACAATAAGCAGGCAATTCTATTTTTTTTTTTTTAATGAGGACAGCACCAATGATACTGGTACTCAAAAATCATGTATATATTATTCAACTTCAATTTACATTTTAACCCCTTAAGGACACATGACATGTATGACATGTCATGATTCCCTTTTATTCCAGAAGTGTGGTCCTTAAGGGGTTAAACTGAGACAACTATGTTCAAATTATTTAAATTCCTAGCTAGATCATAACATTCAGTATTATAAATAGTTGTGGTTTTTTTTTGCTGTTTCTAAAGCAATTTTCATGTCCTGATCCATGGCAAAATGGACTATTTATTTTACTTTTTCTGAAATGCCATTCTTATAAAACAAATTATTATCACCAGCAATATGGCTAAGCCTCTTAAAATAATGTTCACCCTCCTTTAAAGGGGCACTTTACTGTCCTGATTCAAAAATAAATAAAAAACACTGTTTAGTATATATACCTTTACTGAAAACTTGCACACATTTAATTATACCATTTTCCACACAAGTTACATTTAAAACAGCTTGCAAAAGATCTAGATCTCTTGTCTGCTGCCTTTAAATCCCTCCCCTTGTAACCCCGCCCACTGAGCTTTACAAACCAGGAAGTAACAGAACTGATTGACAGCCATGGGCTTTAACAAGGTTAATTTATAAAAATATCTATTTTTATTGAAATCTGCACAGTTTCTAAAATTAAATTATTGCTAAAGTGCTTTATGAGTCTGGAGTATCCCTTTAACTTGTCTAATGTTCCTCTTTGTAGCCAAAATATTAAATAACAGATTCAGGTGTTGTTCCATAATTAATATCTGAAAAGTATCTTTTTTGTACCACTTTTACCAACCATTTTGTATTGGCATTGTTCAAGCATGGAATTTATTTTTATTTTTTTAAATGACAAAACAATGTAATGTGGTATTATTTTATTTAAAAAAGTACTTTTAAACAGAAGGTTTAATCAAGTATGTTTAAAAATATCTAACAGACCCCAACATGTTTGACTACATGCCAATATGGATACTACATACTTTAGCTGGTGAAATATAATAAAGTTATTAGTGATGTTGTTTCTCATTTGTATACCTTGACAATCTGTTTATCTAGATCACTATAAGCATTTAAGAACAAAAAACTAACTAAAAACTAATATTGCTTTTTAACCATAGACAAGAACATTCATAATACAAACCTCAAATAAAATCAATAATTCAATAATCATGTATATGTTATTAGCTGCTGATGAGCTGTTACATTTTTTTTTTTATAATTTGTATTAATGGTTTGGATAGATATCGCCCTATATAACTTTGGTGCTATTATCAACAGCAAATGATTGAGACATTTGTGGATTGTGAAATAAACCATACAATAAGAGGTGCAATCAAATCCAATATAAAATTATACTTGTCTCGATATAAATCCTCAGAGGGATCCTCTTGTATAAGGACATTTAAAACAAAAATGCTTTTGCTGCTCACAACTGAATTTTTGGTCCGCTTTAGAAGTGTCTTTTTTTTACATTATTTTGTTTTTTTTATTTGTGGATTGTGATCGTGTTGAAAATAAACAAACATATATACAAAGATTCAGAAAACGGTATCAAACAAATAAATGGTGGGATTTTGATCAAGGTCATATCGAGAGTCCATTTTGATAATTGAATTATAGAAATTATATTGTAAATTAAATCTGTCCTCTTATGGCAGGTTAAAGCTAGCCATTATAGTGGACTAAGCTCAAGCTTTTTATTATTTAGGGATTTATTAGCACTCAAAAAGTAAAATAATTGCAGTCTACATTTTTTTACTAGCCTGTTTTTTCCCCCTCTCTTTGAGTATTTTACAAGAATGAGCATGCTCAGCCGCCTTATGAATCAGTCTGTTTATCCCCCTTGAAATGCATTTGTAACAAAAATACCCTCTAATAAGATGGAGTAATGGTTTGAGTATTTATTTTAATCTGTGGAGTTACCACAATCTGTTTATGTGCTTATTTTTTCAATGTAAATAAATAACTTAATGCTATAACTCAGGAGCTCCTTAATTGCCATATTATACCTATAACATTAAGCACTTGCATCAGCTTAGGCTACCACAAATATGCAGTAGAGTCTGAACGTGCTGTAGACTTTTAGAGGTCTAGTTTAGGAAGTCATTTAATCATTTCAAAGCTGCTGGTGAAATAAATTGCATACAACTTAAAAGCGTAATTGTAACTAAGGATTTGCTTTCAATTATATCCTTTGCATTACTAAATACTGAGGGGTTTATTCTTCTTCGGTGTCACATAACCCAACAGATCTGATTCCCATAACTGATTCACTGGTAATCAAAAGGAAATCAGATATCTTTAAAAAATAAAAAAATAAATAAAATGAGAAATTCAAAATAAAAACATTATGCATTTTCACAAAGTTAGAGCCCTGTCTACAGAAATTTACTGCATGAGGATATGGAATATCTATAAACTAACAATAGAAAATCTCAAAGACCAAAATTTCCTACATGACAGTCAAATTTTACTTTAGGAAAAGCTAAAATAACTTCAAATTAAAAGTCGAAAATAAAACTAAACAGTACTTACCTTATTCATGATTTAACTGCTGTTTCTTTTAAAAAATCCAATCTTATTATATAATTTTAGAAATCGCTGTTTAATTTTTTTCTATATTTTAAACAAACCAGAAATTATTAATTTAACATTTTAACGTTTGCTGAATTAGATTTTTTAAATTAAATTTTATTGTTTTCTATTTGGTTTGTTGAGTGTACTGAAAAAAGAAGAATCTCTAGACATAGATTGACAAGGTTATTCACTAAAGTGCGTATTGAAGGTGAATTCAAAGTGAATTTCAAATTTAAGGTCAAAATAGGCGAACTGGAAAAATTCTCCAAGTCAGCTTTGTTTTCTGTTTTCTTTAATTTGAAATTACATTTGAATTCACTTTGAATTCTCACGTCAGTAAATAACCATGTTAAATAAACCGCAAATACAGTGAAACAATTTATAGGTATTTTCCTAGAAAAAAATCTGTAATATGCTCAGCTTTTTATTATTATTATTAATATTATTATTATTATTATTTATATATGTATATTTTCACTTCAAAGTGAGTTAGCATTTATTAATTATAAAAAACCCATAGTGAGGAAGATAGACAGATCTATAAGGTTAGGCAGAAAGAGGCTAAGCAAGTTATAAGAGCTTCCAAATCACACACAGAAGAGAAAATAGCCCAGTAAGTAAAAAAGGGGGACAAAACATTTTTTAGATACATAAATGAAAAAGAAAAGTGAAACAAGGATTAGTTAGATTAAAAACAAAAGAAGGAAGGCATGTCAAAGAGGATAAAGGTCTAGCTGATGCCTCAATTAATATTTTTGTTCAATATTTCCAGATGAAAATGAAGGAAAGGGACCTCAGTTAGAGGGGGAAAAGAACCACACAAAGGGGCTGGTGGGAAGTAAGAGACTCATATAGGGACTAAAAGGGGTAAGAAATTCAAAAGAGGGGTTATGAGACACATAGGTGAATATTCAATTAGGGAGGGGATGCATCTTCTCCTCTATAGCCAAATATCCTTGCACTGGCCCTGGATGTAAGCCAATGGCAATGCCTAATATTTTGTAAGATTAATCTTGTGATAGTCAAAAATGACTGAGAATTTGTAAATTAGGCAGGGATATC